CCCCAAAACCCCAAAACCCCAAAACCCCATTATTGTCAATCGTCAAGAATAAGATAATACTAAGATTTGATAATAAATTTGGAAATCTTGTGACGTAAGATGTAGAGTGATGATTTAATCGTTTTTTGAATTTTTAAATCTCTCCTAATCGCAATCATTGCTTGGTCATTTCAATACATTGATCTAAATATTTCTCAACCAAGTCTTTTAGGACTTCTGGCTCTTACATGATTGATTCATCGACATTTACAGTCATCCTGATCTTATCTACATATGAGAGAATACAGAAAGTCAATCCACAATGACCAGCAGTTTAAATATAGCTTTGGCCATAAATTTGCTTCGATCCACTTAATTCAAGAGGCTTAAGTATTCCAGGAGTATTAGAAAGTGCCATGGTAAAGGCCATTGATGAAAAATTGACATACCATTGGCTGAAAAAGTAGGGGAAGTATTTAGTTGCAAACTTAGTCATAAAATATGTAGCATATACTTCTCCAAAGGCAGATCTTAGTCTTGAGGTAGCCTTTGGAATTTCTCTTAAAGAAGTTTTTATGTCATCGAAGAGAGGTATTCTTAATGGTACAACAGCAAACTTGTTTTCAAGTTTAATGTCTTCAATCGATTGATAGTGCTTGAATCTAATATTAGCTGGGATCACCAAGTTAACAAAGTTTGACTTAGTATCACCTTAAAGCCTAAAGTATTCTTTTATAGCAGTTGATAAGCAGGAGGTCACAAGATCATTGATTGTTACTTTGTACGTCTTAGCACATTCCTTGACGTCATTAAACTCAAAAAATTTCCCTGTTGACACAAATCTTCTACCAGTCAATTGCCTCTTACCATCGTGTAATGGATTTTCTTTAAAAGAGAGAGTTAAGAATGCCACAATCATTTTCATGAAATAGAAAGGTATTCCCAGCTTAAGAATTATTTTCTATACTGAGGAGACCTCCTTAATAGGAAAGAGAGCACTGATATCGAACTTATCAGCAGTGCTATTAATGAATGAAACAAGGGAGGCACCATCACAGAAACTATGATGCTATTTCCATAATAGAAGCGAGAATTTTTCTTAATAGTTTTCTTGCCAAAAGATTTCAAATTAAGGTCTAGAGAAATCGAATGGAATGTTGATGTTTTGTGAAATGTACCTATCTATGTCTTTCTGATCTTTAAGTTGTTGATCCTTTGGAATTTCATTGAAAATTATGTCAAGAACTTATTTCTATGGCAGTTCTTTGTAGTATAAATCTCCTAGTATGTTAACAATAGAGTATCTCATCTTTGGGATCTTGCTGATTAACAAACTAAATCTTTCTTTGGCTTTGTCGGCGGAAAGTCTCTCAAAGTATATTGCTGACATTATATTGCTATGAGAGCCATCTAAACCGAAAAAGGTGCATACATCCATGACTGGCATTGGTTTCAATCTTAAAAATAGTCCAATTAAATCTCTATAGACAGTTAGGATAGTCACTGAGATAATTGTAGCGGTAGCTGCATCTAAGGCTGCATAAAGAATTGGTATTATGGAAAACTTTATCAGAAAGTCACTTAATTTGCACTTCATGAGCTAATTACTATTTTTAATTATTATGGTGAATCAATCAATTAATTTTGTCTATTCTTTTTTTTCTAAGCTGCAAGTTTTTGTTCAACATATGAATCTTGCGGGGTTTTGGGGTTTTGGGGTTTTGGGG